CATCTTTCTATAACTCCACCACTACCCCAGGTAACCACAGTTCTATTTTTTGTTTCCATGTATTTTTTAGATTCCAAATATAAGTAAAATTACGCAGTATTTTTCTGTCTGGCTCATTTCGCCTAGCATAATGTCCTCCAAACTCATCCACGTTGTTGCAAATGGCAATATCTCCTTATTTTTTAAAAGGCAGAATAATATTCTATTGTGTGTGTATAACGATTTCTTTACCCATTTATTCATCAATGGACATTTGGATTGTTTTCATATCTTGTGTATGTTGTGAATAGGCTGCAATAAACATGAGTCTGCAGATATCTCCAGGAGGTGCTGACTTCATTTCTTTGGAGTATAGTTCCAGAAGTGGGATTGCTGGGTCATATTGTAGCTCAATTTTTAATTTTTTGAGGATCCTCCATACTGTTTTCCATAATGGCTGCACCAATGTACATACCCACTAACAGCATACAAAGGTTCTGTTTCCTCCACACCCTTGCCAAAATTTGTATTTTTGATAATTGACATCATAACAGGTGTGAGGTGGTATCATGCTGTGGTTTTGATTTACATTTTCCTAGCAATTAGTGACGTTGAGTATCTTTTTATATACCTGTTGGCTATTGTTATGTCTTCTTTTGAGAAAGTCCGTTCATGTCCTCTGCTCATTTTTTTCAACAGGTTTTTAGTTTAGTTTAACTTGGGTTTTTTTTTGCTATTAAGTTATGTGAGTTCCTTATAGAGGAAAACTTCCTTGACACTGGCCTTGGCAAGAATTTTTTGGATATTACACCAAAAGCTCAGGCAACAAAAGAAAACATAAACAAGTGAGACTACATCAAACTAATAAGCTTCCACACGGCAAAGGAAACAATCAACAAGTGAAAAGGCAGCCTATGGAGAAATAGGAGAAAATATTTACAACCACATATCTGATAAGGGGCTACTATCCAAAACACCTGTTTACTTTATATCTCTGTGAGAGTCATGATTTTGGCTTTAAAACAACAAAGAAAAAATACCAGTATCTTTAACATCAGAGTTGGCTTTTCTTGTCATCTGGAAAATTTTCAAATTAATGAGAACAACTCCTCACCCAAAAATATTTTTGAAGTGAAGAATATTGCTCAATGGAGGACTATCTGCATGAAATCACTCTAAGGAAGAAATGGCAAAATAACAGGGCAAAGATTTGGGAATTGGATGCACTTGGATTGTTTTCTTGGCTTCACACCACCTTCTTCATAATAGACAATCTTGAGAGTCTTAACAGTCTTGAGCAATCTTGAAGATTCTCAATTCTTTTCCACATAAATACAAATATTCAAAACATACTTCATGTTACTACAGCTATTGCTGGTACTACATTTATTGAAGTTTCTAATATTTCTCAGAATGAAAATGGAACACAATTCATGTTAGTAATTGCTTTTTAACCTGTGGGCTGGTGAGGGTCTGCACTGTCACCTCCATTTTGCCTCTGTTAACATAGATCTAGCATTATCTAAGATTGCTTGCCAATGTGGAACCCATTGTTCAGTTAGTCTGGCCTTCTTCCTGTGCCCAACATGGATGGCAACCAATCCTGCCTCTGTATAATCATACACAAATCTGCTCATTAAAAGGACTTTTTTCTTTCTTTCATAATTATTTACATCATACTAGATTATAAGACTTTCAAAAACCATGACTAAACCTTATTTATCTCAGTATATAAGTAACAATCTGTAGTTATTCTGATTTTCAGTGAAGATGATTAGCATTGGTTCACACTAGCCACAGCACTAATCTCATCAACTTCTTTATGCAAATTAGCAATGTATTTTATCAGGACCCATCAAGGGTGTCTCTCTCATTAGCTTTGCCCTATTTCATTAGACTGTTTGTTTAAAGACAAATGCTATAAAGACAATAATCTTGAGCCCGTCTTGTTAAAGGTCAGGTGTGTTGATACAAGTTGACATTGAATCTCAACTTCTGAGTCCTCCTAAAAATATGCTGGCAAAGTGTCTTGGACTGATGTGTATTCTTCTACTCTGATGCTCAGCTCTGCTCAAGTTTTTCTAACCCCTACCTTTGTTCCTTTATTTATTTCTGACATTTTATTGAGTAGAAAAATGTATACTACTTACTGTGTGCTGGGCCACAGAAATATAATTCTAAAAAGATTCAGTTTCTATACTCAAAGGGCCAAAGTATGGTGAGGGAGATAGGAATATAGATAAATAATTGCAATTTTATATTTCAGTTTATCTAAGAGATTCTCAACAGGTTGCATTAAATCAACTCTAAATAAATAATGACAAAGTACATGAAAAAAATTCAAGGAAATTCCACAGGAAAATAAAAATTTGAGCTGAGTTTGAAAAATTAGTAAGAATTTACCAATTTAGAAAGGAGATGCCAAAGATTTCAGGATAGGGCATGAAGGTATGAGTATGTTCTGTAAAGTGGACCATATCCCTCATTTGGAAAACCCAAATAGTTGAATGTGAAGAGAATATAGAGTTAGTAGAGCAGTCAATCAGGAAGATAAATTAAAGAGAGAGATAAATCTTGGAAGTTTGGTTCAGTGAATTACTTTGACCAGTAAGTTTCATTTTTATGGAAGCCTGTAGACTTTCCTGACAGATCTTCCTCCTTTACACATTAGTAGCCATCTTTGGGAGTCACCCCATTTCCTTGGCCCACTTGTCTCTGTGTTGCACACTTGGAGGCCCAGTGGAGCTCACACAACATGCCTTCCAAAAAACATCTCACTCATCTCTACTCAAAGACATAAATTCATGTGGTTCACCCTGTATTTAGGTCTAATATTTGACCACACTTGAAAGCATAAGTTATTACTATAATCCTGAGTAAAAAAACCATAATCATTTATGAAGACAGAAGAGAAATCCAAATCCACCGTATAGCTGATGGATGTAAGAAGTATCCTTAGACAAAAATGCCTCACTATCTATACATATCTTTCTATGATAGTGGGGTCTTTTAATGCAGAATGGAATAACTTGGTTGGTATCTGTGACAAAGTAACTTACCAGACCAATTTGACCTTTGATCAGTAGACTTTCTACACAGATGAGAAGGAATCTCCATACTTTGTTCATGTTCTTCCATTAACCTAGTATTTATATGCCCCCTCCGGCATTTCTTCATGCTGAAATTTTACCATCCCTTAGGCTTAGGCACCACATCTTCATGAGGTTCCCTACATGGAAATGTGGTTTTCACTTCCTTAGGGAACTTATTGTGTTCTGTCTTTCATATTTAGGTGCTTAATTGCATCCTGATCTGGGTGGTAAGTTCCTTCGGGTCACAGACTGTTTTCCTATTAAACATCATTATGCCTCATTGCATCTGGCACTGGGCCTTAGAGAGTCAAATAACTCAAACAAAATTAAATTGGGTCTTCGTAGGGACAAAATGGCTATATATATATATATATATACACACACATATATATATACATATATATATACATATATATATATACTATATATATACTATATATATACACACATATATATATACATATATATACATATATATGTGTATATATATATATAGTGCCTAATTCACAAATTATAAATTCCCACTCTGAGATTCAGCATTCCTTTCCCAATCTAAGATGTAAATTTCCTCTGCTTAGTCCTTTTGTATTTAATAAGTTGAAGATGATTCAGAAAGTTTTAAGTTTTGTAACCACTAAACATGGGGACTAAAATGCTAATGTGTTTCCCAAGCCCATCAGTAGCAACAAAAGAAAACACAGGTGCTCAATAAAAAGAATGCCCTGGCCAAGCCATCAGGGCTTAGAGTTCCTAGATCACAAATTATGTTTTGCGCGAACATTTTTAGAACATTTTAGAGGCACAGTTTGTATTTTTAAAGGTCAGTAATTTCTCACCAAGATTCCTGTGTCAACCTCAGAGCAGGCTTGACAAAGAAAAAAGCTGAGCACAAATTCAGATCACACAACAGGGTCATGAATTCACTCTTTTTATGCCTTCTGCATGTCAAAGACTTGTTGGTCATTAGTGTATTTCTACACTAGGCACTGAGGAGACCAATATGCTAAGATGTTTCTCTACCAGCAAAAGAAGAAAATGAACTTTAACCAGCAATACACTTTTGAATGAGAGTACAGTATTCTTTTAATTCAAATAGCTAGCTGGCAGATTCAACTATCTTAAAGTCGATCATTATATTCCTATCTGATAGAGTCTAGAGTCTGTTTCTAATATATATTAAATAATTATATAATATCCAACTAATGAAACTCATAAAAAGGTAAATATCCAGTTGTTCTTATACTTTTACATTTCAAGTATCTTCATTTTTTTCAGTTTTATCTTTAATGCCTTGTTCATATGTAATGTTAAATTTTATGTATATCATAAATATGATGTGGGCTCTGATAGTTAAAAATAGCTTTTGTGCTTAAAAATGTTCAGTTTGCTCAGATACTTGAGGTATTTATTAGGTAAAAGTGACAAGTAGGCAATGATATATATAAATATAGTGGAAACATATTAAAAGCAGAAGTAATGATAGCTCACCTGATGGGAATAAGACCACCGGGGACTAGGGACCCCATTTCTGAGGCCATGGGAGGAGAGGAGGTAAAGGAATGCTGCCTGAGCAGGAGCCGGAGATAAGGGCAGAAGGTAAGTGTCTAGTTGGGGAACATTACCACCATCTGGGAGTACAGCAAAGCAGACTTCCACTTTAAATCCTGAGGGGCCTCATGCCTATAAAGCCATGGAGTGGCTTGATATGAAAGCCACCCTCGGCTGTAGAGAAAGATTGCAAAATGTTAGCCCAGGAGAAGAGACGTCAGGCTCCAATTAAAAAACACCAGGTTCGGTTCCTTACCTCCCCATTCTCAGTAGAAAGCCTCAATTGATGGGGAGCTAACCTGCCAATAAGTAGTACTAATCTCTTTGTTCCTCAATCCAATGTGCCACAGCTGCTAAGTTCAGAGATACTACCATACATACCTTAAGGCATAGTTGTGCTAAGTAATGAGCTATGTCCTCCTGCTTCTATAGATAAAAGAGCAATTAGCTAAGTCATCTTGTGAATTTTAGGGAAGATTTTAAACTTCTACACATTGTAACCCACAAACTTTTCACATGAAATCATTGTAATCTAGGGCGTGAAAAAAGAGAATAAAAACGGGTGCTAGATTTCAGCCGGTACCACCTGGTTCATGGGAATGCTGGTGGTGCCCTGACTTCCCCAAACCCTTTCACCTTATTTTTTGTGCCCATGTCTTTGTCTCTCCCATCTCTTGCAATGCACACTGCCCTGGGACCTGGTTATATCGAGGGTGTCGCAAACCCCTGATACTCACCTGTATCCAAAGATGTGTCATCAGCTGAGGTCATGAAAAACAAAATTCTTGAGAAAGAGCAGACAAAAATGGATTAATTAGAATTAGTAAAAGTTTTCTTGGCAATGACTCTGGGATAACTTTGGGCATAAAATGTAGCATTATAAATAGCATTAGCCTCTGCTAATAAATTTTTTTTCTTGGGGAGAATGTGTACTAAATGTTGATGCCCCCTCAATTTTTATGTTGAAGTCCAAATCCTAGTGTAAATGTATTTGGACATGGAACTTCTGAGGAGATAATTAAGGTTAAATCAGGTCTTGAGGTGGGGGAGGGGACCAGCTCTAATAGGATTAGAGCTTCTTCATAAGAAGAGACAGCAGGAACATCAGGTCCTAAGGTGGGGAAGGGGCCCAGACTTAGTCTTCTCATCAGCAGACTGCATTAGATTAGCTCCAAAAATCTGTTGATGATATCAGCTGTATCTTGTTATCATTGTGACAGATTGTATGTCCCAGCAATGCTTACAACAGTATCTCTTATTCCACATGCTTTCTTTAAAACATGACTTTGGCACTTTTTCATCAAGAGGTAGGAGCTCTGTTCTCTCCTCATGGTTCTGGGTGAGTTTTGATTGTAGCAGAAAGAACCCAAGGGAATTTCAAAAAAAAGGGAAAAAACCTCCAACAAAATCCCCTAAGAAGAATAAGAAAATAAGAATAAGAAGAATTCAAACAAACGCCAAGCCGGGAAAGAACCAAAAAAGCAAAAGGAAAAGGCCCAAAAAAGTGAACAACAAGCCCCCCCCAAGGCCCAAAAAAAAAAAAAAAACAATCAACAAAAAATTGAAGGAAAGGAACTTCAAAAGGGTCAAAAACAACCCCAATGGCCCCCAAACAAAAAGCCTTCCAAGTGAAATCCCAAAAAATGGGGAAAAAAAAAGAGCCATCATTTCTGTGATCTTTTCTTATTCCTGAACCAAAGAATCCATGAGCCAAATAAAATAATTATTGCTGTAAACCACCTACATTTAGGGTAGTTTGTTTTATAGTTATAATAATTGTAACAATTATAAACTTCAGACATGTTAGAATGTTGTTTGTTTCCTTGCTGTTGTTATGGTAACCACTGAGGTGAACTGAATTTGAAAATTTAAAGTAAAATCTGTCCAGTACTAAATTATATTGCTGGGTCAGGATGTGGTAAGTTTCCAACATTAGAAATTTTCAGGTTGAAAGTAAATGTCTGTCTATCTTGAATGCTACAGAAGGCTCTCCTGCCCTGAGGACTTGGCTTGGCAGCGATATTTCATCATCTGTGAATTTATGGTGTCTAGCCAAGTGTTTGGCACAGTGGTCCATACTTGCTTACTGAACGAATGCTTGACTTTACAGCTATCTCCGCATCGTGTGATTCTATGCTAAAGATGGAAAAGAGTAGATTTATCATCAATAACAGAAATGATGACAGTAATAATTATTGTCAGTATAACTAACATTTCCTGAGTGATTTTTGTCTGCTGGCTACGGGCTAAGTGCTTTGCAGGACTTTCCAATTCAATCCTGATAACTCCCCCTCTGGGATAGCTAATATTATTTCTTCCTGATTTATGGATGAGGAAAATTTTCCCCTAGATTAAGGATTTCCACACTGCCTCTAATATAGCAAGTAGTAGCCGGATTTAGAACCCAGACTATCTGGCTCTATAACCCATGTTGGATCTCTGTGTAGTATTTTCTTCACTAACTAGTAGGATTGAGTCATAAGGTGAGAATGTAAAAATCTACCCTGACCATTTATAATTGCAGTAATAGTTCACCTACTCCTTTTGTGGAATTTATACCCTGAATAGCAGCTCTTACTTATGACCACTTGGATATAAAACATGGGTCTCTGAAACGGCTAGCTAATCTAGCATTCCAGTGCTCTGTGATCATGGACAACAATGAGATTAACCAGCAACCCACAGAAAGACTAAATTGATTGCCTCAGTTGGCTAGAAAACTTAGAAAACTAACTCAGTCATCAATCACCCACAATAAAACTAGTAATATTTTATCCTTACATGGTAATTTCCTCCTCAGTCTCCAGCCATCCCATAATACAGTCTACCACTAATTCTCAAAGCAAGCACTCTATGAAGAATCCCATCTAAAAGAGAAAAAAATAATACATAGGAATGACCAAATGAATGTCTTGTCATTGTGGTAAAGAATTTAATCACATCTCTTATTTTAGTTTCTCTGAATAAAAATGAACGATTACTGTCAATTATGAGCTAAATCAATTAAAATTGAAAAGTTGTATTTTAAAGACAAAAAAGCATTATTGGATTCAAACAAACATATAGCAATCAAGATATAATTGTTTGCTTCTAAATAATATCCCCAGTTATCTGAGGGATAACTGGTCCAAATAACAACAGAAAAAAAAATGTGTTGGAAACAAAGACAAAAAGAAATCCCAAGAATTTTGCTGCAGTAGCAATGGAGGAGACAGGAAACAAGAGAGTAAACAATGGTCTAAGAATCATGACATAGGTCAAATTCCCAGTTATGGGCCCAGCTCCCTAATTATTTATGAAAAAATCACTTATTTGGGGGGGGTCCAGTTTTCTCATTTTCAGAATGTAATAGAGGAGATTTCTGAATATTTCCTCATTTTTTTGGAGAGGAAAAATTCTATGATATTCAAAATATTAAATCTTTATGGTCTAGTTCACATTCAAAACCAATTGTGTTCTAGGATAAAATCTTTAGCAATGTAACTTCTTTCCTGCTTGAACTGAAGAGTGAAAGTGATGTTAATTCTTATCCATTAATAATCTTAAACCATATATATATATATATATATATATATATATATCTTGCCAGTAATAATCTTAAACCAGAGCTTGGGAAGCAAAGGTTTTTGATGTTTGGAGAGTGTACGCTAGAAGGGAGTTTTTCTCAAAGTCCAAGTTAACCAATTATTGTTTTTTTTTTTTTTTTTATTTCTCCCTCAGAAAATTTCCTTTTTGTCTTCTGAAAAGATTTTGAGAAATGAAATACTAAGAAGGTATAGAGCTTTTACTCTATTGAACACTGACCTAAGCATTTAACAGGTAATAGTTAATTAATCATAACAAACCCATGAAACTAATTACATTATTGTCCCCATTTATAGTTGAGAATACTATGGCTTCAAAATGGCAAGTCATACATCTAGCAAGTAGAAAATATAACATAAACTTGTAAAAAAAAAAAAACATTCATGAGGAAGTAGGTTCTTTCTTTTTGAGCTTATGTGTTTTGGGTTAAACTATTTCCATCACACCCAGAAAATCTGTTCTGTAATATTTTTCTGGATATTCCTTTTCTTTTCTTTACATCAGGGGATTAAATCTCAATATTAGTGTCTAAACTAAAGGTCAGCAAACTTTTTCTGTGAAGGATCTCATAGTAAATATGATTTTCTTTGCAGGTCTCTATCACAACTACTCAATCTTGCAGTTATAACATTAAATCAACCATACACAAGTGTGGCTCTGTTCCTGTGAAATAATGAGAAATACAAATATTTTTCTGTGCCCCCATAATCTAGCATAGAGCACCTAAAATCCTTATGATTGTCTGGGTGATAGGTTTGGCTTTTGCTCTAATTCTCCATGGCCTCCTGAATAGGGCTGGCCACAAGAAAAACCAAGCCATGATTACAACCTGGTAGCATCTGATGCTATCTACCTGGTGATAGTGTCAGAATAACGGAATTGAATTAAAGGACACCCAGCTGGTCGTGTCCTCTGGAGAATCTGCTGGAATATTGCTTGGTGTGTGGGTGTCAGAAGTTTGACTGGATGAAAGAGAGGGATTGAGAGGAACAGTGTATCCTTATTCTTGGCACTTTTGCTGAGACATTTTTTTCAATATTCTGAGAAATTTAACAGGGCCATATTCTTGTTGACTAAAAATCACTTTAGTGGATTTTTTTATATTATATCTCATTGCTCCATAAAACTCTATTTATAAAAGTAGGCATAGATTGCATTTGACCTGATTTGTGGGTTGTGGTTAGTCTTATTCCTGATCTAAACTATATCTTCCCCTCCAGACCTCATAATGATGTTTTTATCTTTATAATTTTGTTCAAAACTAAAATTGAAGTCAGTATTGTCACCTCCAGTTTAAACAAGAGGACACTAATTTATTTTAAGAAAGTGAAATATTCATCAGTAAAAGCAGATCCCAGATTTTGGTAGCCATAGCAGATTCACACCGACTCCCCATCGTGTTGTCTCCTCCATGCTCTTGTTGATGAACTAGCCATGGAACAATTCCAAGAGGGAAGCCCAGAAAAAGATCTCAGAGATTTCTGCTCTGATGGGAGATGACACAGTGATCCATAATTCTTAATCTCATATTCTTTCCATGGGTCAATTTCATATTTTATATATAATTTAATGATTGTAACAAAAATGGCTCCTGCTTACTCATTCATCAATGAGTTCAAAGATATTTTTATCCTGCTCCTCTAATTGTCAACAAGAAAGAAGGGAGAGGTAAAGGCAATTATTGGTAAAAATGGAGGTTGTAGAAAAAAGAACATTACATTTGTTGCTTTCATCACATTGATTGCAGTGAAAAGTGATGATTTATGAGTAAATTATCATGCAAATAAGTCATCAGATTTAGAGGAACAGTGTGTCCTTATTCTTGGCACTTTTGCTGAGACATATTTTCAATATTCTGAGAAATTTAACAGGGCCATATTCTTGTCGACTGTTACTCTTGTAAAACAAGAGAAGTTTTGTTTCCTGCTGTAAAAGTACAGCTGATAGCATATTAAGTATGCCACTGAGAACAGTTATAAAAGCTGGGTATTATACTTACAATAGATGCCCAAAAGGACTGGAGAAGAACCAAAACAGTCAGGACTAGATAAATGAAGATTCCAGGGAGAAGGAAAATGGACTGAAATGAAACCAGTATTCTCTGCTGTTTCTCCTTGGAACATTTGCCTATTTCCTGTAGGTAAGAGGATGAACAGAGCAGTCACACACAACAGTGGAGTTCCGGGTTTCCAAGTAGTCAGACTTAAGTGGCTAAGATGGGGGAAAGAGAGCTGGGGAGCCCAACATCTGTGCACGTTGTTCTCTCAAGGCATTTGCTGCCTCCTAAGCCGAGCATGCAGAACTAAACTCAGTGAAACAAAACAACAAGCAGCTGCTAAGGAATTAAAGACCTAAGTAGAGAATGCAGGAGTCTCATGGTTCTAGGAAGAGAAAAATTGAATCCAGGTTTTCACCAAGTAAAAGAGGCTCCGATAAATAGTTCAGACTTTTAGTTGTATACTTGGAGGGTCTAAATCCACGAAATAAGAAAAACTGAAAATAGAGCACCCTCTTCTTAATACAACCCATACTCTGTTGTTACAGAATCATAAAAGAAAATGGTAATCTAGTGAGAGGCTTGTTAAAAAAAAAGAAAATGAGTAGGATCAATATATAAAGTGATATTGGATATAAATTTCCCCAAACTGAGATAATAATTCAAGTCTTAGATTTGAGAATTTTAGCAAACCACAAGAAGTAAACTATAAAAAAACCTCTATACTTAGGCATATCATAGAAAATCTAA